AGATAGATAGATAGATAGATAGATAGATAGATAGATAGATAGATAGATAGATAGATAGATAGATAGATAGATAGATAGATAGATGTCATAACAAACGTTATGTTTTACACTGAACTGATATGAGTTTCATAACACTGTTACTGTGATTTCTTCATGAAAGGTTACAAAAATGCTGGCAGTGGTGGTCATTCTGTTCGCTGTGCTTTGGATGCCATACCGCAGTCTGGTGGTAGTGAACTCTTTCCTGCAAGAGGCCTACCTGGATACCTGGTTTCTGCTGTTCTGCCGCACATGTGTCTACCTCAACAGCGCCATTAACCCTCTTATCTACAACGCTATGTCTCAAAAGTTCCGCGCCGCCTTCAGAAGGCTCTGCCACTGTGGACGCAATGCCCAGGCTAACAAGGCAGCCTATAGTGTGGCACTAACTTACAGTGTTGCCAAGGAAACGTCAACGGTGGAAAGCACAGGGCATTTTTCAACAGAGATAGATGATCTGACACCGACAGACGAGCTGTTTCCTGATAAGAAGCTTCTGTATCCAGGGGACTGTGACTTTAGGAAGGAGACATTCAGTCAGGCCTGATAAACTCACAACAGCTACACACATCATAAATCTCTGAATACTGGCGGTCTAACGTAACATTACACATTGACCTGCAGGGACAGAACTTTGAAAGTTTCACTTTATCTTTATTTTTAAAAAGTCATGCTCAACACAGTCAAATTCATCTTCCTGTCTCGTTCACTAGCCAAACAGCTCCTTAGAACGTGTTCTGCTGAAATGAAACCACCATTACATGAGTTGCACAGTTGCATTATCTGCTGGAGTCATGATTCTTAATTAAAATTGCATATATGATGCAGGGTAAACTGAAGTACATATTGATCTGGAAATATCTTTAGGGGTTGCCATTGTGATTAATGAGTGGCCTTTTCCCCCTGCAGACCCCTGGGGGAAAAATGCTGAAACTGCTTTATTCTGCATTTGTAGTTGTTTCAAAAATGTTCAGTGAGAGTTAACTTTTGTTTACACACCACTGTATATAAATATATATTTATATAATACACAATGCTTTCAATCTAAACTTAAAATGGAAGCATAGCTATTTTAATTTTTTTTGGTCATTTTGATATGTGAAAGCCATTGGCATTCTGATGTCAGACTGAAATAAATTTAGATTAGAAGTTGTATGAGCGCCATTTTATGTAAACTGAATGTAAATAAGCAAATTAATGAACAAACAAATGCATAAAAAAGTGAAATAGATATTAAATTTTTACCTTATTACATCTACAGCCTTTATGTAAGATCTTTTTAGTTGAGTCGTTCTCAAAGCTGAATATATTTGATCTGCCATTAGCTCCACCAACTGGACAGGGCTGCCAGGTCTGCGAAACAAAACCAGCCTAACTGCTAATCAAAACTAGCCCAAAACTAGTCCAATTGTGTTTTTTCCAAGCTTTTCCTCTCTGTCAGAATCATGTTCTGGGTGGAGGTGAGATCACTAAAAAACAACCCGTAGCAACAGTGTAAAAGTAGCCCAATTCTGTTTGAAAGCCATAGACTTTGCCACACTGCAAATGGAAATGCATGAATAATCATTGCTTCCTCACATGTTTCCCAAACACCCCACCCCCCTTGATTGCCATTGGTCATTTAAAACATATAGTCCTGCCCCAAACTCACACTATTGGTTGAGCCAATGTCCTGCAGCTAAAACCTACAGAGAAATCTTAAAAAATGCCATAATGTGTACTATGCCTTACTTATATTTAACAACTTTACTCAGCATATTAAACTGGGATAGAACAAATAACATTTATTCAGCTTCAAATATAATACGTTTGACACTTTTGAGTATAGCTTATTTAGATGAATTAGTAAATGAATGTATGAAAAAATTTGTAAAAATACTTCACATCTGATGAATGAATCTTTCACCATTGTTCACTCTCTTATATCATAAATGGGTAGACAGCATTGTATTTGTGAACTTTATACTAGCCGATAAGCTAAATCCCACACCATAGGTTTGTACATGGTATCTCATCAAATGTGGCAAAATAAGTTGCTTATTTTCTTTATCTTTATCACATCTGACTGTGTATTCAATTATTCTGCATTAATATGTTGTGTTTTAGGTTTTGAATATATCTTACTGTTGTTGATGTGAAAAAAAAGTTTTGTGAAAAAAAAGTGGAAAAGATGTTTCGATGGCTAATCAGGTTTTTAGAAAGCTAGTTACACAAATGGGTTTGAATCTGGTCTCTACACTCTGATATGGTTTCAAGTGTTCTGAAGTGTTAATGCATATCATAAATCATTTTAAAGCTCGTTTCTGCCTGAAACAAATGTATAAAGTGTTCAGTATGTTTAATTGTGCTGTACTTGTTTGGTAAATGCTATTTGGTAGTACTATTGCCGAATCGTTCAATCAGACGTTAGTATCCATATTATAACTATTAAATGTGTATTTGCTATTTTGCACTTGTGCTATTATCCAGGGATTAACTAAAACAGTTATCTACATCTATTTTAAAACATCTTTCTGAATAAAATAAATGTACTGGTTCATGAAAGACTCATTATGTTTAATTCATTATTATTAATTGTCTTATGATAGCGGCGGTTTCTGAAAATCTTTTCTTATTCACATTAATTTTCAAACAGTACTGAATAATGCTCTGCATAATGCTGCACTGATGTCTGCATAAATTAAATTTGAGGGGATTGGCTTTTTTAACTGAAAGGTGGGACTTTCATTCCTACAGTTGCTGTTATATTTTCTCTTATTTGTTTCTCTACAAGTGGTCCATGTCCTTCTGCTGTATACTGTATCCAATAACGATGACATTTACAAATAAAAAAGTAAAATATGAAAGTGAAAATAAAGCATTTTTGTTGTTTTCATAGATATAAATTAGAGCTTTTTGTCCACAGGTAACAGATGTAACAGAATAGATCCCTGTTATGCAGCTAGTCTTCAGAACAGCATTAAAAAAAAGAAGAGATTTTATTGAGCAACACCACCACCACTCTCAGCATTGTGCAAAAAATAGGGTCCCATAACGATGACCCTGACGTCATTTCACTTCCTGACTGTCCATTTTCATTTGTCATTTGTGACACAATGGAAAAAGGATTTTAGTAGATATAACAAGCTTCATGCTGTGCATTCCAATGCAAAATCTAGGACAAAAGAAATCTACAATACGCTTCAATAAAGCATATATGAGACTGAAAATTACACTCATTAAAGAGTAGCTCTAAACATAAACCTACAACCAGCAATCGTGCAAATTGCTCACTATAGTCTCTCTAACAGCTTTCAGGCTTGTTGAGAAAGCCATAATTTGAAACATTCAGTTTGATGTGATTATTACTGTGCTACAATCTATCTGCCCTGCAGACCACACACACCTCCTGCCTCAGTGCTGCGTTCATTACAGGAACGCTCCAATTTTGCCACGTCCCTTCACTCGCTTGCATATGGAGACACGCAAACCTATCACTGGCACATTTACCACAAAAATGTAAATTCAATTCACATTTATTTGTATAGCGCTTCTCACAATACAAATCGTTGTAAAACAGCTTCACAGAAAATGAAAGTTTCTACATTACACGTAGGAGTAGCCAGTAGCCATATGGCAGATATGTACAGAAAAAAGTCATGCAGTCAGTTAATGACATGTATTCAAACAAACGGTGAACACTATTAACAGCACTATTGTTGTGATCAAAATTTGGTAGTTTTATATGCTTCAGGGTCGGCGTCATCTGAGGTCCTCGGAGGGGTTGGCATCAGCTCTTCTCAGGTGTTTGGTCATCTCAGATATCCGTAAAGGATGGATCCATACTGAAGCTTGTGTAATTCCTATTACCTCAGGATTCCCATCCCGTGGCAGAAACAGAATTGAATTGAATTAAAAAAAATTCCCACCATAATTATTTTGGAGTGAATCCTAAACATTTTCTTGACAGGTTTCTTGAGGCTCATCCAAGAATGTTGAATCTCAAGTTGAACCTATTTAATGTTTCGGACTACATCCAACAAGATGCTATTTAAACATTAAATCATTTCATCACAGAACACGACGCCAAAGCCCACAGTTTTGTTCAATAACATTGTTCCCTTTTGTTCACACATTTCCCCCCCCCAGACGTAATTATTCACAAAAGATGGATATGATCTATTGCAGAAAAAAATGAATGTAATTATATTATCTTGGGTTTGATGTCACCTACAAAACCTGTGATGAAGTTGCATTCTCTCTTCTTTTTACCACAGAACAAGACCTTATTTTATTACACAGCATATTCAGTCTGAAATTAATAGGCCAGAAAATAAGTTACTCTTGAGATTAAAGGGGTCATATGATGCGATTTCATTTTTTCCTTTCTCTTTGGAGTGTTACAAGCTCTTGGTGCACAAAGAAGATCTGCAAATTTGCAAAGACTAAAGTCTCAAATCCAAAGAGATATTCTTTATAAAAGTTGAGTCAGCCACACCTACCTAAAATGGCTCGTTCGAACACGCCCCCACATGTCTACCTCACTATGTGGGAAGATTTGCATAACGCCACCCAAATGTTCACGCAAAGAAAGAAGGCGTAACTTTTATTCTCGCTGTAGTATTGTTGCCGCTTCCGCCATGTCCTGAAGACGCTGTGTGATTCGTTGTGAAAGCAAAACTACTTTGTTTGGTCTTCCAAAAGATGACGATATCCTCTTCGTCATGCCTAGAGCTGCTCTGTGCTGGTCGCTGATGGAATACATCAACTTAATGCTGTGGATCGCCGGCACATTTTATGGAGGACTGTTTACTGATCCTGGGAGAGTAACGTTAGACTAAAATGCCGGCAGTTCTGACTCACCTAAGTACGTTTTCTTTTATCATTTGCCACTGATGATTCAAACATGAGTTTTGGGCAGTGTGGAGTATCACTTGTTGTTTGTCATTTCTCTGATCACAAATGCAGACAGGATTTTATGTTTATGTTTATGTCCACTGGATGCAACAAATACCTCGTTTGTAATGGGTTTTAATGTTTTTGTGTCGTCGCTCCGGCTGGGACACGCCATCCCAGTATGGTGAGGGGCGTAACATTTCCGTCACACGCTTGAGGTATTCAGCCAATCACAACGCACTGGATAGCTGGCCAATCACAGCACACCTCGCTTTTTCAGACCGATGAGTTTTGTAAAAATCGACGCGTTTCAAAAAGGCGGGGCATAGAGGAGAAACAATAATGTACAGTATGTGGAAAATAATGTGTTTTTTTAACTTTAAACCGCATAAACATTTCATTACACCAAATAATGTTCTTTTTAGCAGCATCATATGACCCCTTTAATACATCCATTACAGCTCCTTTTCATACCTCATTTATCCCTGCTTTTCTCTTTTCATCTTTCTCATCAATTCAGTTTTTCCTCATTCTTTCCCGAAAGTTTATCAAGCCATGCAGATCTATAACCCAGAGCTAATCAGCTCATTTTCAACCGCAGCCAAAGTACAAAACAACAGTGTTTCTTTTATGTGCTAAAATACGGAAAACTCAGGTCTACCAGACTAGACTAGATGATGTTTGTATATGTTTGGTTTGGATTTCTGAGTAAATTGGTCATAAAATATCAAGACAAGCACAGTCTGCTTAAACAAACTACTCTAAAAACACTCATAAATTTCCCCAAGTATAATATAA